TCTTTTCCGGGGGCTTCATGCCCTTCCCGGCGTTCCTCCTCTTGAGCTCCCCCTCCTTGGAGCCTCCGGCGTCAGTACCGGCACTAGCAACTACAGCCTCCTTCGGGGGCACATGAGCTGCGGTGGCCTCCTCCTTCTTCAAGAGGGCGTTTGCTGGCGGCTGTGTAGAGGGCCCATCTTCCTTCTTTTTACTTTCCTTGGCTAGCTTCCTGGAAAGCTTCGCGAACGCCTTCGGGTCCATAATGTCACCTGCAGTAAACAAGGAGATATTAAAATCAAGACAAGGAAAAAGGAGTAAATTCTTCTAAGTACTAAGGAGGAGATCCATCGGCAACAACCTCCGGCATGCTGGAACCCTCGCTCCATTGGGGGATACTTCTCATCCTTCTCCCCCCCCAGCCGGAAACGCCGGAAGTCCAGCCGGTACAGTTCTTCCGGAAGGGTTGCAGCCTTGATAGTTATCAGTTTATCAGAACCTTCGGGTTTGGCCTTAAGCTTCTTCCCCGCCGCCTCCAGGACAGCGCTTCCCACCTTTAAGTGCCTCCGGAAGTGGTTACGTAGAGGCCTCGGGAATCCATTATCCGGCATCCGGACGTAACAGAAACGGTCCCTCCACAACTTATGAGACGAGGGCACCTCCGAGAATAGTCTCCACGCCGGCACCTGCTGAAGGTTGGCGAAGCCCTCGCTATTTGCCGCACCCCCCCGGCAGAGGTTAAAAGACAAGAAGAATTGATCCAGGGAGGGCTCCACCCCCCGGCTCCGACACAGCGAAAGGAAGCCTGCGACGTAGGAGTGACTATTGGGAGTCAATTGGCAAGGAGCCAGCCCCAGGAATTTCAGGTACTCCAACAGGAAAGGGTGGAGCGGGAATCGGAGGCCCAGCTCCACCGAGAGCACATGCACAGCAAAGCAGCCCTCGGGGGGATAGGACAATAGGTCTTCCGGGCCCGACATCACCACTTGGGCCGAAGGCCCCACCAGGATTTGTACAGCTTGACAGTCAGAAGGGGTGGCCGTTGTCCTCAAGTCAAGCGCGGCGGTGTTAAGGTATGAGTGGCCTTCGGGGATCCCCACTGGTTGCCCCGCGTCAGCAGCGGCCTTCTTCTTCTTCCTGGAAGGTCCCTCGGCTTTCCGATGCCTCTTCTTCTTCCCCGAAGCTACCCGGAGGGGGACGGCGTCGATAGGCCGGGAGCTGCTCGCTTCACCAGCGCCTCGCGAGGGCAGAACAGCAACCGTGACTCGTTGCCTCTCCTTCTCCTCCTCCTCCTCGGCTACCTGAAGCGCGAGTGCCATCTCTTCATCCTCTGCGACCTGTTCGAAGTCTTCGGCTTCGACCTCAGCGTGAAGGTTGCTTTGCATCTCCCTCGCCACCTCAGAATCATTGTTACACGAGGCCTCACTGGATGACTCCACGTTCGAATAGCTCTCTGATTATGCCGGGGCCTCCTCCGATATATTCTGCGAGTCGCTGCCGGAAGACATCTCGCTATTAAAGGAGAGGGGGGTCCTAAAGGAAAAGGCTATATGACTGTTTTAACCGAAGGCCCCTAAGGACGCTTTAACACTAAATCGGCAGGGAGGAGAGCAAAACTTACTAAAGTATGAAGAAAAGGTGAAGAACTGACCTCGAGACTCGGTTTTGATCGAAGTAAAGGGTTTCTCTCACTAGAAAATCCGGCAGAGGTTCGCTAGGGTTTATGAACGTGCAAGACAAATGGTTTCCGGCTTGGGGTATTTATAAGCCTCCCAACCACGGTTAAGCCTCGAAACTGGGCCTCGAGTTAAAAGCCCATCATCACATGCCGCCCCATCACCCAATGAGAGGCAGCCGCCCCCCATCTGCCAACGACAGTGCGCCACGTCAACCCATCTTCCAACGGCTAAATTGCAACGGCCATATTCAGAAGTACTGGAGTGCCCTCGAATGATAGCCTCCGGCTATCACTCACCACACCCTTCTGCCAGCAAATTTCATCAAACGCCTACGAGCTTGCGGCAGCGTAAGCCCCCGACTTATCAATGTCACCACCCCTCGGGGGCCCATCAACTCATCATAACTCCTTCAGCCCGAACTTGCCTTCGACCTAAAGGAGTGGGGGACTAGGATACACCCCTCGGGTACATACTTCAACACACCCTTCGGCAGAGGCAGACCATCACAAGTTTTCCCCGAGTCACTTGCGGAAATGGAGAAGCCCTCATCACAACACATGCAGGCAATACATCTACGCTTTCCTCAGAAAACCCTCGACTTATGAGGGACTGAGGGGAGCCCCCGGCAAACATGCGAAGTTCATGAATACCTTCCCTCAGAAAACCCTCGACGTGTGAGGGACTGAGGGAAGCCTTCGGTTAACAGCAGAAGATAAGTGATCAGTCAAAGGCACCCAACAGAACGATGAAGCTTTCGGGAGAATCAACACAATTACTCCTTTTCCCTCAAGTACCTTTCGGCAAAAGGAGTGAGGGACTCCTGATGGAGTATATGGCCCAGGAACCCCCGGCCCATAGACTCATACCTCTCCTACACAAGTCCATTGAGCTCAGGAAACAACTCAGGCCCAAATACAACGGCCCAAGCCTCAAAGTAGCCCAAAATACATACTGGGGTGCCTTCGGCCTCCTTGGCCGAAGGCTCCAAAACTCACAGGATAGCCTTTTTTGGCATAAGAAGCTGCTGGGAGAAAACGGGCGAAAACATAAGCCTTCGGCATTTTCATGCCCTCGGCATCAGAAAAGACTTCGGCTGAACCAAGCCTTCGGCCACACAAGGGTCCTTACCACATGGATCCCTCGGCTACACAAGGAGCCCTCGGCTACACAAGGGGCCCTCGGCTACATAAGGAGCCCTCGGCTACACAAGGAGCCCTCGGCTACACAAGGAGCCTTCGGCTGAACTAGCTCAATCATCGAAGATTCCTTTTGGAGACAGCCAACCACCACATTTAATACCACGTCACATCCGCCAACCGCATTCAATGCGGTTGACGTACCACTGCCGGTGCCACCAGGCTGATGTGACCCTTCGGCCGTTGGATCACTGACACGTGTACTCTCATCGCATTTATTGCTGCTATAAATAGCAGCCCATTTCTCCTTGTAAATGATCATCTACACACAACTCCATACGCTGAGTTCATTCAATAAAATCAACTCTCTCTCCTCCTATTCGCTCTGACTTCTCTCTAAGTTATTCCCGCAATAACCCCTCGGATAAGATACCCCCCGGGTAGACTATCCATCAAGGGTGTTGCCTCTCACCTCCATCATTCATTCGACCCAAGGAATCCAAGAGGAGTAAAAGAGCTTTGCAACTCCATTCTTTCATAGCTAATTTCGAGCTCAAGTCCAAGGCATCCAAAGAGGGAGTTTAAAGAAGGGAAAAAGGGAAGAAAAGGTGTGGTGATTAAGGTAATAACCTTATCATAACTTTTCCTTTATTTTTCTCCTACCATATGAGATATATATCATGTGAATAACCCCTAGGATGGTTCTATATGCCCAAAGTGTAGAACAATGGGTTGAAGGGTGGTTTTAAGTCCAAGAGCGGACTTAGAAGCCATAGAGACCGGTTCACCGGAAAATAACCTTTTAAGGGTTATTTGTATTGATTAAAATTTTATGATGTTAAAACCTTGTTAGGCACTTGTAAAGGGTGATTTAAGAACTTTCACGAAGTTGAAAGAGTTACCGGAGTTGTCGCCGGAGTTCATCAAAGTTCGCCGGAGTTTCACCGGAGTTCAACCGGGAAGGGTAGGACTTCATAACGCTCATTCGAGGTGAGTGGACGGCTTAATGTCTTATAACTCTTGGGTTAAGTATGAGATTACCTAAATAAATGTTATAAGTATTCATAATGATGTTTAAAAGAGTTTAAGCATGTAATTAGCCTAGGTAATTAGGCCTATGTGAATAAAACTACATGATGATGCATGTGAAGAATATGAAAAATGTATAAAAACATTTGTGATATTTTGGATGACCAAAATGGCATTTATTGGTTGTTTTAGACATGATATAGGTTGTATAAAAATTTCGGGTCAAACGGATCACGTTTCGGGGGTCAACTCGGGGGTCAACGGGCCGTTGACCCAAAACTCCGAACATACCCGGCGCCGGGTATAGGGCATACCCGGGGCCGGGTAAGCTGCTGCCTCCATATTACGTTTTCGCCGAAAACGCGAATCGGAGCCCGGTTCGAAGGGGGGTTGATCCCGTACAACCTATGTGTGTATATTGTGCATGGAATTGCATGGAATATGATATTTAAATGTCAAGGTTGATATTTATTGATTTAATTCTAAGACTTGGTTTAGTCTTTAGTAATAATATGATATAGACCCTGTCTAGTGTGATATGTGGTAAGTCATAGGTCGGGTGGAGTACCCAGGGATCGGGCGTGTATCCTCAAAACTCAGTTATAGGGTGGAGTACCCAAGGATCGGGCGGTTATCCTCAAAACTCGGTTATATAGGGTGGAGTACCCAAGGATCGGGCGGTTATCCTCAAAACTCGGTTATATAGGGTGGAGTACCCAAGGATCGGGCGGTTATCCTCAAAACTCGGTTATATAGGGTGGAGTATCCAAGGATCGGGCGGTTATCCTCAAAACTCGGTTATAGGGTGGAGCACCCAAGGATCGGGCGTGTATCCTCAAAACTCATAGATTACATTTAATAATCTAGGACCGGGTGGTGTCCCTATGGTAATTTACTTGAACAATGAGGAGTTCTATACACTCATAGGTATATGTGTGGGTTGGGATTTAAGTCAAGGACATTGGCTTCTATTATTTTCCCAAATAAACAATGACCTACGGGTCGGGTATTTCCAAGTGTATATATACTAATATGTATTTCAAAACTTGGGGGAAAGACTATACGTATATGTATCACCCTATGTTTGGGTCTTATACTTAAAACGTTAGTTATTCTACATTTAGCTTGCTACTCGCTCGGTACTTGTACTGACCCCTTCGGGGGGGGCCACCATTTCAGGTTGAAGCTCAAGTTGCTATTCTCACCTTGCTCGGTGAAGTGATCCAAAGGGAGACGTGGTTCGTGCTTCCTTTATTGTTTTCAAACTATAAACTATGCTCATGGATATTTTGTAATAAATACATTTGTTTTGGGCCTGCGTGCCTACGTTTTGGCCATGTGTGGCTCACGATTGAATATTGAATATTTCCGCCATTCGTTCAATCCTAATATGTGATGTTGTTATGTATGTTTACTTACTGAGTATGGTATGGACTATGTTCATGGATGCCTTGTTTGACTAAGTTACGTTGACTCGCGGTTGACGTCATTTAGTCATACGGCGGTTGTACACGCGCTCAGATGCGGTCTGGGGCGTGACAATTTTGAAGGTTGAACCATGCTTTATATTTATCTTTCAACTCACTTAAGTGTTTTGCGCAGATTTTTACCATCAAAACGAGCACCTGTTTGTGCATGAAGGTTGTTTACAATTTTTTCGCAATCCTATTTAGTATTTCCTTTTGATTCTTCTTCGCTACAATTATTCAAAAATGTACTCGTAATGATGTCATTCCAAACTTGCCTCACTGACATTGTCTATATTTGATAGTAAAATGATATAGAATTATAACTTCATAATTGAAGTCAAGTACTTATACGTTAATATTTCTAATTACATGTCTATACATAAATAGACTTAATTTTATGACGACAACAACATCCAAGCCTTAGTCCCAAAAGATATTGGGGTCGGCTAACATGAATCGATACATGATATCACGACCAAAAGGAAAAGAAAGAAAATAAAGATAAAAAAGATAAACTATTATGAAAAAGATAATATAAAAAGAGATGAATATACCTAAATATGATAAAATAACAAAGGATAAAAATAATTTTTATATATGAGGATAAAATGATAAAAAAAACAAGAAAAAATAAATGAGGGGAAAAGATAATACGAGATCACTCCTCCACACGACCACACGAATACCCGTCCTCCACTTTGCTCTCTCCAAAGCCATACACTCATCTAACTCAAGAAGAAGCATATCACTTCGGACTCCCCTAACCCAAGTCTATTTGGGCTTTCCTCTCCCCCTCTTCACAGCCTCTTCTCCACACATCTCAACTCGTCTGACAGGTGCATCATTCAGTCTTCTACGCACATGACTAAACCACCGTAGGCGCGACTCCGCATCTTGTCTTCAATAGGTGCTACTCCCACCCTTTGCCTGATTGTCTCATTCCTCACGTGGTCCTTCCTAGTATGCCCACACATACAACGCAGCATGCGCATCTCCGTCACACTCATCTTTTGAATGTGACATTGTTTCACCACCCAACACTCTACACCATATAGTAATACAGGCCTAATTGTTGTCTTATAAAACTTAATTGATTCAATATACTTAATTTTATTCATATAAAAATCAAAGAGTTACAAAATTGCCTAATTCTAGTCTTTTTCACACGTCGTGTTAATCATTTACTAATATTCTTGATAATTCTAGCATGTCTGGTATTCCAATTGATATAGAAGAGAACTTTTACACATTTTGGTGAATATATCATGCATGCATGTAATGACTAATTAATATATAAATATATTATACTCCCAAACATAAGGATGATCAACCCATCAAATGATTCAATAGACAAATTAACACATGAATCAACACATAAATTAATATGGAGTGAATTAATAAATATGAAGTGATTTAATAGATAAATAAACACAAAGGAACACATGCATACATGAATATTGTGCAATTGTGCATGCATATATGTATACACTAATACATGTGTGATGCTGCGAAATTCAATTTGAAGAGAAATCGAGAGCATGCAATCATGGTGATAGGGATACACTACGGCTTCAATTAATAAGAGTGAAATTTTAAGAAAATTGTGAAAGGCACTTACGTGATGAGAAATCGCTAAAGGCAAAGTAGAGAAGCGGCGGCACTGCAAATAAAAATAAAGTAGAGATCATAACCTTGCAACAATTTATATATAGATTATATTAGGGATGTTTTGAATTAATTCCACTTTTGGTCCTACGAGTTTTATGTCAATTTCACATTTGGTCCACGTCTTTCACTTTGTCCACTTTTGGTACTTGACTAATGTTTTTTGACCATTTGTGGTCCTTTTCCCGCCATTTTAGCCACCGGAAACACTGCCGGAAGGACCATATATGGGCCAAAACACAATAGTCATGTATCAAAAGTGGACAAATTGAAAGACGTGGACTAAATGTGGAATTGAACTAAATTTTCTCTTCTGATCTTTTTAAATCTGAATTGGTCTCCTCTTGTTTGAATTGGTCTAGTTTGATTGGTGTAAGGGTGTTTTTACTTGGACTAGTCCGGTCAGGTTTGATCTGGTCTGGTGTAGTTTTGAGTTGGTCTGAATTCGTATGGTAGACATATAGTCTTTGTGACTATTTTACAACTGTCGAAGTCTGTTTTGGTATGCTTAAATCTTGTTTGGTCCAATTCAGTCTGGTCCATTCGGGACTGAAACCAGCCTAAGTAAAAACATACTTTGTAACATCTTTCAATGATTTGGAAGGGATTTACGGATTATAATATATAAACCGTATAAAATAAAATCTTTATGCAAAAAAAATATGAAACAAAATTTCAGACCAGACCAAAACAGACTAGACCAACAAATCCAGTCCAAGTAAAAACATGCTTAATGTTCCCTAAGATACTATTCATTTAATATTTGTTGTTTGAGCTTATACTTTATGATACTAACTCATTGTAGTATAGTCGCTGCCATCACTATTAGTCGTAGTATGTTCCCTATTAGTAGGGTTGGTTTGTTCTGCCGCCAATGTTTCAGGTTGGCAATTGTTTTCTGAGTTTGATTTCAGTTCAAGTTGGAGTCGATGAGCGTGATGTCTAGTTGCCTTCGTATGTGATGGTGCCAGATCTAAACTCATATTGGCTTTCCAATGTTGGGCGGCAGTCGATCGCACTGAATTGGGGCTAGGGCGGGTTGTAGCCTACTTCGTTTGCATTTCTTCAAGATGGGCGGCAATCGAAAGATGTGGCGAGATTTGGTCGCTCAAGTCGCATGAGAACAATGTGACTGGTTCTTTCAGAGTTTAATGACTGGTGCGAAGCTTCCGCCTGGTGCAAGTCTAGGTCAGAGCTGTGTGAGCGGTTTCAAGGAGAACGTGTTGTACAAGAAGAAATGCAATAAAGAAGATTCAGTATAGACAATTCACCCCCCTCTTAAACCTCTGCCATTGAGGGATCGTGTGATTAGGGTTTAGAAAAAGATGTTTCAAGTTTGGATCGAGCCGCGTGCAATTTATTGCTCCGTTTTTCTTTCCATTTTTCACTTATGTCAATTTCACCATTTTATTATGTTTTTGGCTTGCAAGTGTTAGTGATTTTTTTGGAGTGATGACAACCATTATTTACCTCAAATCCTATTTATGTTCATCGAAAAATTCCATGCTGTTTTGGGTGATTTTTTTTTATGTCTGATCAAGGATTGAGGGAACTTTTCAGCTATTTTGAGTTTATTGAAGTGGTAAAGAGTACGGTTACGGTGACCATAAGAGTTAGAAAGAACTCTATGGTGCCGTTTTGGTGGTTAGCAATTCGTGTTGTTTCTTTGGAGATTACCGTCTCAGAGTCTGATTGTGGGCCTTTTTTTAGTCTAGATGTAACTCCAAATCATTAGTTAGCATTTAGTCTTTTAGAAGATAGTTAACGGATTTTTAGTTAAATTAATATAGTCAGCATTTTTTTTAAAAAAAATGTTATTCTACACCTATTTCTACAAAATGTAAAATCCTTAAAACTATTTCAATGACCGAAAAATGTAAAATTCTTAAGCTCATTCTAATGTTTAATTAGTAAAAATATAGTAGTACGTTTAATTAGTTCGCTTGTGTGAAGAACTAAAGGACAACGAAACTTTCCATTAAAAAAGCCCCCAGCGAGGATCGAACTCGCGACCTTTCGCTTACGAAGCGAACGCACTACCACTATGCTATGGAGGCTGTTGTTCTGATGTTGTAAGTAGTGTTATATAAACCAGAACTTTGCACCAAGAGAAATTGTGAAGTACGTCCTTCGTTTTCTACCAACAAAAAGAATGATCGGGTTTAAGGGAATTCTTACAAAGGTGCCGGAAGATGTGTGGAATAGCGCTGTTGGTTTCCGGAATTCGCATAGACATATCGTCTCTTCTCCCTAATTTCATCTTTCCAACACCTCAATTTAATCAAAAGGTACTTTTACTTTTCACAATCTAACTGTAATGATACAAACTCACTTTTGCTTGGTTGTATTTATCCTAGTGTATCTGCATTGTGTCTTGACTTCTTATCTTGCAGACTTTAGTTTCAGAGGAGGGTATTAAATCTGTTCTGCTTAGAAGAGGTCCAGATAGCTTAGGGAGTAAGAGTGTGATTATTCATCCCAAAACCTCAATCTATGGTGAAGGGGAATGTGAAATCGTTGCTACAGCTGGTGATGAAAATTATAATGAAGTAACTGACAGCAGGTTCAGCAATGGAGGTGTTGGAGAATTGCATGGTGAATTACGATTTATTGGGGCTACATTGCAACTCAGAGGCGTCAATCCTATTGTTCAGCCTTTGGTCGATGATTGCGGGAACATTCTTGTATACAATGGTATGGGTGTAAACTATTGGAGCATAGAACAAAGATTGTTACGTTTTCTCATATTGATGTTCTTTTGAAACATGATTATGATTTTAAATTTTTTTGAAGGACATGTAATTGAATTGTAACTTGTTTCTGAATTTTGATTATATGTGAAATGTGATCTGTTGGAGTTGGCTGTATCATTTAGTTATGTGTAACGGCAGAATCCAAAAGCTGGGTTTTCCCTTTGATTTACTTTGCTGCACTTTTTGGTGGGTAATATATAGGTGAAATATTTGGAGGAATTCGTGTGGCTTGTGATGAAAACGATACAGAGAGTCTCATGCAATCCTTGAGAGGAGGCTGTGGTATTGTAAATGGACAATATAAATCAATCCCTGACGTACTTTCTCGCATCAAAGGGCCATGGGCTATGATATATTGGCAGGTAACTATCATTGGTAAGTTCTTTTTATCATTATTTTAAGTGATGTGATGATTATTCATCATCTTAGACCACATGTTTCTGGTGTTTATGTCCTTGCATGTAGAATAGTTTGAAAACCTTGTGGTTTGGAAGAGATGCATTTGGTAGGCGGAGCCTTCTTGTTCACTGGCCTACACAGGAGGACTCTCGGTTTCTGCTATCTTCTGTGTCACCGCCTTCTTTAACATTGGAAAGATCTGGTGAATAGTTCTTGATTGACCATTTACATTCTTACTCTTTCTACTTAGACTAGAACTGTAGACTTGTTCAGAAAGTGTGTAATTATTGAGTAAATTGTCCCTATAGTTTTGTGGCATATTGCATTTATATGATAATAAGAATTAGTAAGAAGGCCTAATGTCTTATTAAGTTATAAGGGCAATTTAGGGAAGTTTACTAAATCCCAATTCATGTTTCAGACTTTCAGTTCCGGGTCCCAATTCTGAGTTGGGGGGGGGAGGGGATTTTAGCACACAAAGTAGAAACTCAAATCAATATATCCTCTCTTACCGTCTTACGTAGGTTTTCTTGTAATCAATCACACACTGCAACATGACAGTCTACTTTGCTTGTAAATGCTCTAACT